ATCGATATCGGTATCGGCGATACCAGCCCGAATTTTACTCGGTATCGGATCAGAAAGGAAATTGGTGGTATCGAACATCACTAGTACCAGTCATTAGGTCATTTGGTAGTGGGACACAGTGGAAAAAAAATGTAATTTTTTTACTAATTTACTTCATTCAAAGAAGATCCAGTCATATCCATTTACTTTTATTTAAAGATAATCTGGCAATATTTTAAAATAATATGTCATTCAGACTCTGATACAAAGAGAATAGATTATAAAAGATCAAAATCTTGCTACTGCTCTGTAGTAACAGGTGGTACTGGTTGACCAGTCCTTGGAACAGAAAAGGTCAGGGACCGCTAATATAGATGTAACTACTCCATAACAAATAAATACACGATTCTGCAATTGATTATGATTTATTCAAGCTACAAATATTGTTCATTGCTAATAAAAAAAAACTTTTTATTTTCATAGGTTAAGAAACTCTGCTGCATCGACTTTACTAAATGCTTTTTAAGCTCCCGCGGGCCACAAAAAACGGCTTGGTGGGCCGCATTTGGCCCCCGGGTCTTGAGTTTGAGATGTATGGCTTAACAATGATGCACCTAATTTATGGATTTGTACAGGCTAACAAAGTTCATACCACTAGCGATCATGACTTTTCTGGTTACTGTGTGTAAACAAAGTGAAGGGAGTTAGCCCCGGAGCTAATGTTAGCTTCGGTCCTGATCACTAAGTCTCCCCAGCAAACTTATGCTACATCCTGACTACACGTTAGCTCTTTCTGAAGCAGGAAAAAGCTAATGTGTAACCAGCAGTGTTACAGACACTATTCAGAAAACAGCTTTTTTTTTAAATTAGAAGTGGAAAAAAAAATCTTTCTGTGTAAACACCCACATTACAACGGGGCACCTGCGGCTTATGGGGATGTGCGCTCAATAGTCCGGAAAGTACGGTAAAGCAATGCATTGAGTACCTTTCAACTAACAGTGAAATTTGAGGGAAATTGGAGTTGGAGAGGGGAGAAAACAACCAAATTAGGTAGCTAAACAGCTAGCAGAATGTCCACAAAAATAGCTAAAAAGAAGTCAAATGAGTAGCAGCATATTTAAAAAAGATTTTTACAATTATGAATCTGATCATCTCTGACAAATGACAAGTTTTACCACTCTTAAAAATAATCATAAATAAGTTTTTCTGACAGTATATATATGATTGTCTTCGCTGTTGTTGATCAGCTGGAGGCGGAGCCTAATGAAGGAATGAAGACATACAACGTTGCATATGTCCCTCAGCTCCCAGGAATGCACAAGGTAAGTCGTTTTCACTTGTTGCGTTCCCCTTTTTAAAATTTCTTTTTTTTTTTTTTTGTTCCCCTTTTTAAAATTTCTTTTTATTTTTTTTTTACACATCACTATGAAGTTGAGTTACTTTAAAGTCTAGTGTTTGTTTTTAGGTCACTGTGCTGTTTGCCGGACAGCAAATTCCTAAAAGTCCATTTGAAGTGGGCGTGGACAAAGCAATGGGTGATGCCTCAAAGGTGTCCGTGAAAGGTCTGGGAATCGAACCCGCGGGAAATGTTGCCAATGAGGTCACACACTTCAACATATTCACAACAGGTCAAAACGATGATAATAGTTAATAGGACTAAGCCATCCGACATATTTAAAAGTCCATGTCAGGTTTAAAGACAAATCTTGTCCACAGGTGCAGGTAGTGGAGACGTGACTGCGATGATCCGTGACCCTCAGGGTCAGTTAAATACCGTGGAACTGATGATGGAGGACAAAGGCGACAGTGTGTACCGCTGCACCTACAGACCCACTCAGGCTGGACAACACTCCATCAACATAATGTTTGGAGGGGCTGCCATTCCCAATAGTCCCTTTATTGTGGATGTGGGCGCTGGTGAGTCGCTGACATTTTCCTGACTCTGGACTCTTCCATCTGAGTCCCAACCGTGTCTAACAACTTTTAACATTCTGACTCTGTTCTACGTCCGAGTGTCTTTGCCCTTAAGTCGTTCCTGAGTAGCTACAGTATGTTCCCGTTCAGTTAGTTTACTAGTAGTTAGTAGTACTGAAATCCTCCTTCTTGGCACCAGAACTACTCTTTCTAAAGTCAACAGCTTCGCCCTCACCACTGACCTTTCCACAGTTTCCCCCCCCCCTCCCTCCCCTCAGGTAAAGAGTTTGGGTGTCAACCTTGACAGCACACTCTCCTATCAGGCTCACATAAAACTCTTTAAGCTTATTTCCACCTCCGCAACATCAACAAACTCCGCCCCTCCCTTACCCCTCACACCGCCGCTTTCCTTGTACACAGCCTCGTCACTTCACGCC